AACTCATAAGGAAAATGAAAAAAAATTCAACTTTTCTTATACAGTATGTAAATAGCATTTCAGGCTGTGTATGTGCGTCTTTGCACATAGATGTTGAAAGAGAATATGTTTTTTGCAATACATTTCAATATAAATGAATATACAGAAGAAATCATTCATATGTTATAACTTTTGGCAAATATTTTTTATAAATCTTCAATACTGAAAATCTCTTTAATTGAATGTCTTCTTTGTAATGCCATTATTTCGAACAAAATGTTGAACATGTATTGTTTTTTACTTTTGTGGAAAATCAAGATAAAGTTATTTTTCTTGTCCTATGCAACAAGAAAAGTGTAGCCAATAAATCCAGCCACGGATTCTTCTATAACCAAGAGCCGAAATAATTATTGTCCTATCCTGCTCATGTCAGAGGCCTCTTCATCTCATCTGTCATGAAACCAATTTCACTTTATTTACATCCATTTGCTGGTTTAATTACTGTCCCGATGAATAGCCTGAAGGAATTAAGTTACGAGTCCTTGGACACCTCCAGCGACAGATATATAGGTCATATTTTACTTGAAAGAAGAACATTATATGTACTTTTATTGGTACGTAAAAAAATGGAAATAATCACCTAACCTTAAATATTTTGTTGTTATTGAAGCCGATTTCTTCTTTTAAGAAACGGCAGGATGAGATTCTTGAAACAGTTAGCTTATAAAAACCAAAAGAGCTAGACAGGAAACAAGCCTCGTTTGTAATCTTTCTTGTATTCTTAGACTTTTGTGTTTTTGTAACATTTGCAAGACGAGCCACATCCGATAATATCGCTTAACTAACGTGCATGATATTTAATTTAATAAATGTACAATTAAAAACATTTTATGATAAAGTAACATACTTAAAATGTAATGAATGTTTGACGTCTTGTTTAAGTCCTTTAAAAACTTTAAAAGAGAACGTTTTTCCAACTTCAGTCTTGCAACATGTTAATTATGTTACGAGATATTTGTCCGGATTGTATTATTAAAATTGTTTAAGCATACATGCAGCTGTCAATGTACATGGCTGACTTTACAGTCCGCTAAAGATGTTGTGAGAAAAGACGCATGAAAAGAATTCTTGCGTGAAATCATTGGATCCTCCTAGCAGCAAAGCATAAATTAAACATATCATGGAGGTATTATTTAGGCTACATTTTTATATCAAGTCTGACAGGCGCTAATATGAAAGAATCAATTGAGTGTTTTTAGCATTTTTGTTCATTAAATTAATCTTGATTTAAATTATTATATGTATTAGCCTGAACTAAAGCTGCGCGGTAATGTTGCTAGCTCCTTACTTCTTTTCACTGTTATTTGCGTCAAAGTATGTTCAAAGTCCATCATAATTAAGCAATTTATGCGACTGCATTTTGTATCATGGAAAATGTAGATGTCATTTTTACAATCTTTATGGAAAATAAATGAACAAGAAGTACACTTCCCCGAACAGATTAGTCAGAATAAGTTTTAATATTGCTTTCATAAGTAAATTATTCTTAACAGAAAATTTGGTTGAACTTTGAGGGTGGGATACTGTGGTGGAGTTTTGGTGATGATTCCTTTCTTGATTAATAGATCCATGTGGTAAGCAGCCTGACATATGGTGTGCGAAGCAGCTGGAGATGGTACCTTAGGCATCCCCTACGGCCATTAACATATTAGAAGCTTTTGTGCAGTCAGACAGTCGGACTTCATCTAGAGCCCAGCTCAGAAAGACAGCACCCCAGAGCTGTTTGATATAGGCTTTCAATAATGCATTACTCTTCAATTTGCAAGGGAGCTGTTCTTGGTGCTGAAATATTACTGTAGTGCCAAGCTCGCTTGAAGTTCATAAGCAAGGGTCTTACAGCAACAGCAACAATAACTATAACAATAATATAATTATAATAATAGTTCTATTATACGTCTTAACTTTTTTAAAGTACATTTCCCCAATGAAACCATCTTACCCGGCCCCTTGTTTTTTAACAACTCCGTTTTTAGCGTACTTCAGCCTAAAGAAGCATAAGACAACAAGCACATTCTGTCAATTTAACAAATTATAATTACTGTATATAATATTGTGTCTGTGCAGCACTATACTTAGTGTTTATAAAACTAACTCTATAGCTGCATCATTTAAAAATCGCGTATGATTTAAATATAATAAGTATTAAACCTTAAAAACAAGACATTTTAAATATTGTGAAAAATAAATGCATACAACCACTTTATAGTTTAAGAACACTCTGCACTAAAGTTATATTGTAAACATAATCATACAACCTATGAACCTGTACCATTGGCTTAAGATCACAAAATGTATTCTTACTTTGTTACGTGTAAAAAAAATGTGCTTTTATTTTTCGGGATTTTTTTCCCCTTGGGTAAGTGTAGGCTTCTATTCATCTTCATAAGATGCAACATAAGCCTACATTAATTTTACTATTATAAAATTTACTTTAAAAATAAAAGAATTGTGAACAATTGTGCAAATCGAAATACTGCCCCTTTAAAAACGTTAAATTTCAGTCTGCCTAGACAAAAATAGAGTAGAAGTTCTTACCCACACAACATTGTTCCTTTCTCTGTAGCCAAAAGCCAAACAAAAGCAATAAATACGTTGGTTTTCTCCGGTCTACAGCTGTGGCCAGTTTTCATCAGCCCTTTCTCAACAAAACCCCGTTAGCTGTCTGAAAATATTGCATTTTATATCACCAAAAGCCGATTAATATTGCATCACCTGTATTTAACATTTCATTTTAAGCACATGAAAACGGAATGGTTCGAAATATTTTTAGCAAATATCAGATATAAGAAAAAAATAAATTGCGGGTTAGTTGGTCAGTCTAAATAAATAAACTTTAAATGTTTTTTTTTTCTTTGATGTGAGAAGAAGCCATGATCATGTTCACTTTAAATTATTCTGACACTGTTCGGAGACAGGCAGGTCTCAGCCTTCATTAAATGTTTATTGTCAACACTTCACTGAAAAAGAACAAAAAAAAAATCCCCGTGTATGCAAGTTTCCGGGACTAAACGTTTTAAAGTTACAGTATTTCAGTTCGTGTGGTACGAAGACACATTACCCGAGGTTTTGTGATGCGCCTTTTCTCATTAGATAAGTCGTATAAGCGATCTATCAGAGTCATTCATGATACATAATGTTGCGAAATAAATAACAAAGAGATGTATACATTTCTATGTGTACATTCTTTATAAAGCAGATTATGCTGACACATGAGATCAAGTTTTTAATTAGCTTCTTGTTATAACTCCGTTTATTAATTTTCTAAGTCTCAGTCCATGAATTATTTAAAATCCCTAATTACGTATATTTCAATTTACTCATATTACCAATGCTTAATTAAAAGTGCCTGTAAACTGTTAAAGACAATGTGAATTTTTATTAGTAGTAGTAATACTAGACGCATTCAGTCTTTGTTGCATAAAAAGTCAACTTTATTTTTCATATTCTCTGATATAACAGTGCCCTTTTTTCAGGGTAAAAAAGGACAGAGTTCCTATTTTTATAGAAAAAGATAACTGTCTACCGCATTAAAGGACTTTGCTGTTTATAACTTAAGGAAATGTATTCAATGCGAAAGGAAAAAGTAACAGTATTGCCCCTGTTCTCTTAAGACAGAAGTACTGGTAATATCACAGGAGAGTAAAAAAATCAATAGTATCATGGCAATGGGTGTCTATTATTCATTTGTGATGGTCTTATCTAAGTTGAAAGCATTTGGCGAACAAGTGTTACACAGAAATTCCATAAGTCCTCTGTTCTAGGCTGCAGGCTTTACTTCCCCAATCACAACGAAACAACAATAAACATGTCTTCAGTACTTCCATAAAACTAAAACTAAAATTGAAAGTTACGAAAACTAGAATTGTCTTATATTGACTAGAGGCGTGACAGTAAGAAGTAATTTGAATTCGTGTTTAAGTGTAGCCGTAATGGACGTTATTCGTGTTCATTTACCTCATACTATAACGTTTTTGTTCATGAGTACTATGCGAGGGAAATAATTAATATGAAGTTCTTGTTTGGTCAGTTACTAAGTTTTATAATAAATTCATAACAAATTAATATAGGTTAATATGATTCTAACACCTAATGCAGTTACAATTCTGCAATAAAAGTTACCTGTTATTTAAAATAACAGGTATCGTGTAATCATCTAGAGTTTATATCACCACATTTTTTTTTAATTTCTGAACGAATTTTAACTTAAAAGAGCGATTCGATTGACGTAAGCCTTTGTCAGATCATTGCATTTTTTCCATTGTTCTTAATTCAACATATTACGTTACTAATTAAGTAATTTGGGGTTAGCTACACAGAAAATTGAAAAAGAAGGATATTATGTACTGCATATGGTACACAAGTTTATAAAATGTTAATTTAAAATACATTGTTTCAGGCCTTATTGATTTTCGTCCGAAACATATTAAATCAAATTATTTTTTAATAAGTTGAACTTTGTGTATTTATTTCAGTAATTTGTTATAATAAACGTGTTCTATTAAACTTTATATATTTTAACAGCTTGATTCCTTCGATTTTTAAATCCTAAACGTTTTTTGAAATACAGAATTATTCACTTCGAATCAGTAGGTGGCATCCTTCCCGTTACTAATATTAATATTGTAAATGTGAACGGAATCATCACAAGCAACTTAATAGGCTTCACACAACTAAGCCTTCTAACCCATATTGCTCATTTTAACCGGATCCATTAATAAATGCAATTATAGACAATATCGTGGTAATAATATGTAATAAACATATGAAACTGTGGATGTCATCACAAAAGACAACTTGTACTATAAAATACTGTAATGTTGTGCAATATAATTGGGTGCATTTTAATAATAATTTGTGTTTATTTTTAAAACAGAAGCAAAAACTGATAATCATAGTATCAAAGAAGAAAAACGTTAGAATTTCACTCAATAATTGAAATGGCTTTGTTTCATTTTTTCTTCATTTATTTTTAAGAGTGCTGGGACACATCTCCCTGTTGTTGTATTTGGCTTACAGAAATAATTTAATATAAATAAAAATAAGAAAACACAACGAAGGAGAAAGCTCAGCAAACATACAGTGGACAGTTATGGAACAGTGAGACATTTCATGATGCACATGTGGCCGCAGTTTGTAAACATACTTGTGCACAAAATAAAATGTTACTTACACAGCTTTTTAACAATCAACACGACAAATAACGTTGTGTTTTTATGTGAAAACAGGCAGTAAACAGTGAATTACACCATCCACAAAGGTCTACCAGTAGTCTATTTAGTGCTTAATTCTTTCAATGCATAGAATGTTTGCACTGCAAACCATAATATACAAGAAAATATTTCAGTTTTTACCAGAATCGCTTTGTATACAAGTATACCTTCTTTAATTCATGCGAGATTTATTTTCTAAGAGCTATATTTAGGATAAATAAATTTTCATTAAAAGCCAATACCTTAAATATATTTCAAATTTGAAACAAAATGGGATTTACCTTCTGAGCTCTGATCACGTGTCATATATATACAAAACATATTCAACATATTTAACATAATATAAAATAACGGTGGGTTTCAGTGCAAATTAAAAATAAAACAGTGGTGACCATTAACGTTAATTACACATCAAGAAGTTAAACGTATCTCTTTTTGATAAAGAAATCATGCAGACTTTGAAAATAAATATAGATTATAAAGACTGAATTATATATTTCTGAGTTTGTTTTTAAACTTTTGAATCATTTGGACACCTTGTAATTTTTTAGTAATTAAACTTACAGGAGTATAAGGAAAAGTTGGGGCCAGCATTCGATAGATTTCTAAATCAGTAAAACACGGCACATCCCAGATGTCGTCAAAATTCAAAATAATAACTCACCCTTTGAAGATAAATAATGAGGTAACCTTTGAATGGCTGTTTTGTCTTTTTAAATAAACGTGACTGAGCAGACATTACTGATAACTAAATGTAATTAAACACCAATTAACTCTCATTGTACAATGATTTTCCAAAGGCAATAACTAGTGTAGATCAGCTTTTTTTCCTCTTATCTCTATTCAACCGAGAAAGAAGACGAACTTAATTACCTGTTATTTGCATACTTCACATTCACCAATAACGTGAAAAAATCAATGAAAAATTATGAAGCCTCATAAAATTGGTGATTACCACATCACCCCACCATGTTCATTTTTAAAGCTTCCATTAATAAAAGAAGCAAAGACCGAATATGATGTTGATTTGTATGTTCCTTGGTCCCCAAATAATGTCTTTCAATAAAGTCTTTTTAACCAGCTAATGTGTTGCAGAAAATTTCAGTCTTTTTTGTTTCTGTCTTTGATTACAAAACCATACTCGCACGACATTCTTTTTGAGGTCCAATTTTTCTGCAATAGCCGCTATCTTCTCTGACGATGGACGAGGTTGAACTGCAAAGTAAGCTTCTAGAGATCTTTTTTCTGGAGCAGCGATCGAGGTCCTCTTGCGTTTCTTTTCTCCACCGTTAAAAATGTCAGGTTTGCTCATTTTCTCTCTCTGGGCCCCCTCCGCCTCTTCCAGCCAAGCTTGAAGAATGGGCTTAAGAGCTATCATGTTATTATGTGACAGCGTTAACGACTCAAATCTACATATAGTACTTTGGCTGAGAGAGCCCACACCGGGAATCTTTAGGTTAGCCAAGGCCGCTCCAACGTCCGCCTGTGTCACTCCCAGCTTGATTCTCCTTTGCTTGAATCGCTCTGCAAAAGCTTCTAACTCCCTAGGATCTGTGTCCGAATCATTGATAGAAGGAAGTCCGTTATTTGTGAGTCCTGAAGCACCTTGAGTGCCTCCGTGGTGACCAGGTAAGAGCCCGTGATGGGTGAGAGGTGAATTCATGTTCATAGCAGCCTGGTGAGAAAGATGGCTCAAACCGTGCATGTGTGAGTGCGGATGGGCTGAAGTAGAAATCAAACTTCCACCCCCACCTCCTCCACCACCTCCAGTACCGTCGTGCCCGCTGGTCATCAAGGTCAGTGAAGGCGAGGTGATATGGTCCATGAGGTCTGGGGGTTCTAAATTTTGATGGTGGTGGTGATGGTGGTGATGGTGGTGATGGGCAAGGGGAACGGTGGAGGTTGAGGTGCATGGCACGCTGTTCATCGTGTGGTAAGTAGCGTCGGGTTTGAAAGGATGAGTCTTGCCCTGAGACACTGCGATATCCACTGCTGCGAGAGCTTCCGCGCGGGCAAGGAGAGTTTCATCCAAACTAGCGAAGATATTACTCTGCAACTGCAATCAAAAAGAAAGGAGAAAAAAAAACAGAAGAACAAATGGATATGTTACTCTCAGCTGGGGAATACTGTCAACACATAACACATAAAGAAAACTCCTTTTAGAAGCTCAAGTCATAAAAATTAATACAAAAAGGGATGAAGTCTGAGCCTTCTGTGGATATGCTTTCAAAAAAGATCACAGGCATTCAGATGATTGCCGAGGAATACATGAAAAAAACATTAAGCGCAGCTTGTCAAAATGTGCCTTGCAGCGCTCTTTATTATTACACACATGCATACTGCTCTGATATAGAAAGGGACGCAAAGATAAGTTCAGTTCATTTACCTGTGGAGTTGGCAGACAGGCTCTCCTTATTGCCTCAGAGCTGGAATGCAGAGAGGTATACTTGGGTTCAGGTAAGGTTGGATGCATGGCAAAATGTGGTTGTTTGCTGTTCATGGACATCATTTTTGCAGTCTCTTTAAAAAATAAATAAAAAGTCCACCAGAGAAGAATAAAATGTTCTTAACTTGTCCAGCAAAGCTACAATAGCTTGTAGTGCTCAGTGCAGCTTTGAGCCTTAAGATCATACAGAGCTGCCTGCAGTCTCTCACCCGCACTTATCTGTCTGCTGTTTCCTTGTGCTGGGATGAGAACAGCTCCTACACCTGAGCCCCTCAGATCTCGTCAAGCAAGCTCGGGTTCTCTCGCGAGACATAGAACAGTGGAGTCTGACAGACAACAGACGTTTCAAGCCCAGTTGCCTTTCGAAGAGCAGATCTATGGGCCGCTGCTCTCGAGCCGGAGATCATTATAGTGGAATATAAGGATCAACAAAGAGTAGGTTCAACACCTGTAGATTCAGAGCCTGCGCATTCGTTTACCTGTAATTCTGAAATTTGATTTGTAAAATGTTAAAAGATTGTCATGAAATAAACGGATTACAATTTGATTGGAAAATCAGTTTCCCGTTATTTTTGAAAAGTATTTGCACTGTTTCTATTTTGTCTAGTGGTGAGATCCATTAGTATGATGACAGAAAGGGAATACATTTTTTTTCTTGGCAGAGCAATAGCATGCTTCTCATTCGCTGTGAAAAACAAATGTTTATGTGTGCATTTTCGTACTCGGTTTTGTAAAACGCAAGATCCGATGCAATAACGATACAATAACTTTTTTAAAACAATTTTTAGAATACACGTTCATCGAGAAACGTGTTGAATGAATGGACAACTTAAAAGGGCACAATTGCTTTCAAATGAATTTAAGTTCTTTGCTGTGCCAATTTATATTTTATACATTAATATTATTTAACTAGACAGACTGTGTAGCAAAATAAACGAGCCCTTAAAACATTCACCGATTGAAGATTTAAAATTGTTATTATTTTACTACTAAATCATACTCAATAACGGAATTAATTGAAGTTAAACGTGGTGACACAAAACTAATAAATGATGTGTTAGGGGTGACTGAAAATGTTTGGCATAGCATCATACATAATTGTAGGGACCTTATTAAACTCCTACCTACAGTGTCCAGATGGGATTTGACTGTGTGTGAAGTGCATACACATTCTTATAGTATTATATATTTTCAATCGGGATCAGAGTAATCATTCTGCCGCTATAGAACAATGTTCTATAGTTTAAGGGTGTGGGTTAGGCAAAGGAAAAACTACAGCCAATAAAAAAACGATTTAAGTATACTCTGTTTTCAACCGCAATTATTGCATTAAAGATCAGGGGTAACGGACTCAGCTATTTCATAAAGCCATTCCAAACCTTTAAATAGTAACAGGATGAACCTCTTAACACTCGCAATTGTATACCATGGAAAACAAACATAAAATGACAAATAAGGCCATAACGTATTCTCTACTATTGTCTAATTGCAATAATCTGAAATTATTTTGCAATTATGTATGCACTGTTCTAAATGCAATCTATCGTATAACGTTCAAAAGCAACTGTGCTTCATAAATACGTGATGCAAATAATACAATCTCGCGGGTTTTTTTAGATATGCTTACATGATTAACGAACAAAAGTGGGCAAATCAGACTAGCCTATGTGAAAATAACGGGACTGAAGTTCGTTCTTAGATCTTTTTATTAACAGTCGTTTTACAATTAAAATGCAAGCCACCTTCATTACAAATGGTAAAATCGCGTTAAAATTATTTGGTACATTTCTCAACACCAGTTATACAGCTTAAATATGTGTTCTACTATAACATAACTGCTTTTGTACTTTTAGGACGTATTCTAAATCATTTACTAATGATGCTTGAATTGAAGATGCTGCACTAATATCTAGTTAATATCTAGCTAATGAAATTAAATACATACTGCATTTTTAATTTTTCATACTAGTTAAAAATGTTTCACTATAGCGACAGTCTAACACTTGGCGCAATGTTTAATAAACTCCCATTTTTAAGTCTTCCCAGTGCACAATGTGTACAACTTTGCTGTACATTTTTATATTATACAGTATATGCTTATCCCTTCAATGGGTTATGTATGAATAGACAAAAACATTTTCGTGTCATAATAAAACGTATTCTACACAAACACAATATACTTCCATAACTCCTAGTGTTGTAATTTCCAACAACACAATTGTTTTACACAAGTGTTAAAATGTATGATTGAACATTTTTTTCTTTGTAATGTGGTCTCTAATGCAAGCATCCGGTAATTTAATACTCCCATATATCTGCATTGCAGTTCTTATACTAGTGTTTATATGTACGATCTAATTTTTAAATATGTAGGCGGTAATCAACGAGGTTGATATTGATAGCACAGATCATTTTACTTTCTTATCTACAGGTAAGCTATAATTTATTGTTAGAACTAGTTTGGAAACAATAACATTTCTAACATGACTAAACGTAATTCTTAACTGCGTATTCATATGAAAAACACTGAAAATAATATTCAAGTTTTAGTCAGAACAACATCACGCATTTGACTCTTAACAGAGGTGTCAGAAACGTTTGCCTTGTTGCCATGTAGCACAATGCACTGATTTATTATAAAATTTTAACGAAATCATGTATATTTTACAAGCCTTTAATCACTGCATGAAAATTTAATCCACGAACTGTAGTGCGGTTAAATAAATGAAGTGTTAATTCATTAGTTTTAATTAATTTGTTAAAAGACTGTGTACAAGGTTATGGTGGAAATTAGATTTTTTTTTTCGCTTTCCTTTAGTAATGACGGTTTTAATGATAAGGTGTACAAACTTAAACCTGCAGTGTAGGAATCTGTTGGAGGTCGAATTTCGACTATTTACTGTACACTGGATTATTAGTAGTAAAAGCTTGATTAAAAAACAAAATTCTGGAAGAACAGCGTGGCTACATTACTATACAAAAATCTTATGACTGGAGATACAGCTTAATAATACATTTTAAAAGAAATTTACAAATTAAAGAATTCAAATTAAAAGAAAATACGACAGTGCAGCTAGAAATAAAGCTTAGAAACAAATTATTACTATCTGGGTACTGAAGTTACTTTTGCATTGTACTGTATATAGGCAACACTGCTATTAGATTAAGGTTTCCTCAAACCAGTCAAAAGTTTGTATACTGTCCATTGTTTTAACATTCATAGCTTCACTTCCCGAAGTGTCCGGTAGTTCCACGATGTTTTTATATTGTGTGAAGAAAACGCACTCTAGTCTTTTGGGGGACGGGGTTCTGGGCATACAGTATATCAGAACACTAGTCTGTAAGAATTTCAAGAGGATAGTGTAAATCCCAGGTGAAAAACACCACATGAAAAGTAGCTATGGACATTAAATGCATTGTGTTCCATCAAAAAATAACTTCTTCAAAGTTATTGCCAAAACGTATTGTATTTTTATAACTTAAATATACGATTATACAGTTGCAAATGGGGCTTATCTGGTGTTAAAAAGATCCTTTTCCACTGAATGATCAAAATCAATAGAATACTGTATATTCCTACAGCATTTACTGTGAACTACTTTGTAAAACGTAGTCAACAACAAACTTGAAAAGGCTAGGACAATTCATCACATTTTAACAACCAGATAAACAACTATAAAAATTCACAGGAAAGTCAGAGAAGGTTTACTCAGAGTAGTCATTATTTCTATGATAATACTATTTTACAAAGCATGGCAGCATGCTCAACAAAGTTCAAATTGAAAACAACATAAAAATTCTAAACTGAACTCAATAATTACACTTTAAATCACAAAAGAGCACAAATTTCTCAGTAGGTTTAAGACATACAGTAGGTTAGGAAAGACACACCTTGAAAACATAATATCTGGGTATGTAGTCAGCTGTGAGATCGAACATAGTTGAGAATTATATGCCAAGGGTGACTATTTGCATTTAGAAAATAATTTTAATTTTAATGCTTTAGGGAACACATGTACCTCTTTGTTTTGTCTGGTAGCAAATGTATAATTATATGACTTAAAAAGTTACCAATCTGTCAGTAAAATTCCACTCAATTATGCATTCTGCCTTAAGAGTTTAAGTAGTCCTATAACATTTTTTGTAACATTTAACAACACCATTTATAGATACCTATTTAGAGAATCTTTTTTCTGTAATTTAATGAAAAATCATCCATTTTCTATCCATTTTATTCAGTATAGAGTCATGGGGAAGCCGGAGCCTATCCCAGCAAGTGACGGGTGCAAGAACTGGTGTTTGGGACACCAGCCCATCACAGGGTAGTCACAGACACACAAACCCAATCACACCTAGGGCCAATTTTCCCAGAAACCAGTTAACAGTACATTAACTGTGGGGTGCTAATCTACCAGTGAATCCTGCTGGGGCTGGTACTGACCGGATTGGACAAAGTGACAGTACTTGCTTTGGCTGCTGGTGTCCTAATGAAACAAGGACTGTGGAACATGAAAAACACTCTCATCCAGCACAACACAGAGTGGGAAGTGAGGGAGCTGGAAGAGGATCCTTGCAAAATTCAGAGGGAGTATGAAATGTAACATAACCAAATGCGGACTATGGACCCTGTTCAGAGACTAAGGAGGAAAAACCTGTTTCTCTGAGCTTCCACAGAGGATTAAATGACACCAGTTTCAGAGCCATGATGGGAAAAGGGCATGGACATCACCAAGTGGTGGGGCTTCAAGGGACTCTTATTGTGCAAATCCAACCCCAGCAACCACTTGCATAGGTTGAAAAAGGACAATCACCCAATTTAGAGTGTTTCTTTAACTGAGCAGTTTTTATGGTTTGTTAAGAGTGAGTAGTCATTGTAAGATTTAAACTGTGAAATAAACTTTATGTTGTTAATAATGTCTTTGAACTGTGGGAGGAGCACAAGTACTGGGAGAACACACAGACCTCACACAGATAGCACCCCAGGTCCAGAACTGAACCCAGAGACCTCACACTGCAAGGCACTGTGCTGTCCATATGAAGAGCTATAACTGTCAAAAACATTACACTTTTATATCACTTGAAAATTAAATGTGTATACACTGGATAAGTAGTTTTACTTTTAACTAAGAAAATGCATAGTTTTCATAACTACAGCAATTTACATAACTGGATATGTGGAGATTCACATTATGCTTAGAAATCAGAAAAATAAACAGTTGTACAATATTTTTTCTATATTATTAGCCTAATTCACTCTAACTGCCTCATAAAATTGAAACATTTCTTTCGATAGCTAATGAGGTTTAGGAAAAAAACATTTCACATATAACTTTTTTCAATACCTTTCATTTAGGCCCTTAAAAGGTATGCAACATCATCTCTTAGTAAAGCCTACAAAATGATACACCAAGACATGATTTCAATGACAGATTTTACACAGTCAATACAGAACAGCAATATATTAAACATAATAGATTGTACTAACAAAAAGCACTGTGATATGCTACTCTGTTTACACTGTCTTTGAAAGATTAAAAAATGGGGGAATTTTTTAAATGTCCTTTTATTCAGAAAATATTAAAAAATATACAACCATTGTCAAACAGAATCAGTCAGCAAGAACATTGCTTAAACTTTCATGTTTTATATCCTTTGAAAGATTAATAGATTTAGTGTACAATTGCATGTCAAAAATGTCTTTTTCACAACAGTATGAAGACAGAGTCATCCATTCTACTATATTATCTAGATTCCACGTCATTCAAGACTAACAGTTTGGAAGCAAAAATGAAACTGTACATTGTGTCTTTCTATGTGTACAAGCTACGTATATACAGCATAAATATTTTAAATTTAATTAAAAAGAGAATGTCATGCTTTCACATAATTTATACATACAAATACCAATGATATGGCAAGACCTTAACTCAAAACACTAATTGTGGGAACAGATACTTAAGCTCTTCTTTATTCTTTCAAAACAGCTATAAGCATCAGTTTAGTTGCCATAAAACAGAATGTATAGAAAATCAGATGTGAACTTTTAACATGACTAAAGTTACTGCTCAAAAGTATTATAAATAGATGGAACAAAAAATACAACCTTTCATTTTTCACACTTAGAGATTTTAGAGGGACTTGCTATGTGAAAAGCTTTCATAGATTTTCTTTTTATCAGTTGACTAGTGCTGTCATTTGACTCTGTTCTATTTACACTTTCAGATTTCACTGAACTAACAATTGGGAAGAGATCCTCAGTCTGATTGTGGTGAGCTTCAGTTGAATTAGAAGAGGACGATGATCCAGGCTTGACCTCCTGAGAAGATTCATGGAGGTCAAACAGCAAGTCAAATGACATTTCATCCGATTGTGAAGAACCTTGTTTCATTTGAAGACTGTTGACCCATGTATCCTCATCACCAGATGAGCAAGACTCTTCTTTCATTTGAAGAACTTGTAAATGTTTGTTGGACTTGGAGAGTGGTTTACTGCTGGTTATACTTTCACTTATTTCTTCAGAGCATGATGCAACATGCTGGTTCTTTCTCACCTTTTGCTCACGTCTTGTATTTACTTCATTCAAAGGTTCAACACAAGCCAGCTCTGATATTAAAGGAGTACCAAGGTCAGTGGACTCTTTTGACAAAGAGAAATGAGAGCACCTGCTGCTTTCAGATTCAGATATCATGGAGTCCAATTCACAGATTTTATCAAGATAGGCAGCATCCATGGAAGCCTCACTGGACATTCCTATGTGGTTTGCTTTAGTAATATCATGAAAAGGTCTGCCAAAGATTTGTTTGCTTTTACTTCGTCCGTTATTGGCCTGCTCCCCAGTTTGAGTTGGACATGCCTGTCCTGAGCCCTTAGTGCCAAGATGACAAGTTCCCCAAAACACTGGCATTGTAGCTGCAGCTTGCGTTTTACATTCTACAGGTATGGTGGCATCTAAAACATGGTTTTCTGTAGTTTCATTCTGTACATCAGACAAAGTATTAGAACTGAAATCATCAAAGCAAAGTTTTCGTAGGTAGGATAAAGGCTTGGTGCTAGTCTTTTGACTGCAATCATTCGGGCTGTTTAAACTGAGAAAACTAAAAGATGAAGAAGGAGTATATGGAACAGAGAGATCAAGATCTAAACTATTTCTTTCTTTCTTTTGTGTACCATTTTCACAGCTCTCCCTCTTTTTATGTAAAACGGCAGACATATTACTTTCTGTAGCTGTAGTGGAAAAACATCTGCAGGATCCTAATATTTTTTCGCTTTTCATATCCAAATCTATACATTCAGGTGTATTCTCCATATCATTAATTGCTTTTCTGTTAGTCTTGCTATTATTCTTTTGACTTTCATTGTTCCAAATTAGCAACTGTTTACTGCAGACCTCTTTTTCTTCAAGTTGAGAATGTGCAATACTTACGTTAACAACCTCACAAGAATCCCCCCCCTTGTCCTTTTCATCTAACTTTCTCTCCATGTCTGATACATGTGCCTCCAACTCCTCTATGTACTTATCACTTCTTTCAAGGGCTCTTCTCAGATGGCTTGAATCACGTTCATACTGATCAATTTTTGCCTCCAATGCTGCTACCGTGAACCTGCCAAACCTGTTTAAAGTAAAATGATACATCTTATCTATCATGAAAACTGATAATATGCATAACACAGTAACAAAAAAAGTCCATCATTGGAATTTTCAATTAAAAAAACTCCAAAGGTGTCCAGAGAAATGTGCAAAAAGAGAAAGGGTTTAAAATCAACAATGAAAAAAAAACATACACATGAATTATTGAAAGACCGCTAACAATTATCAATATACTTGAAATGGAGGCTCCCCCTCACCCCCCAAAAATCTATAATTGAGCTCTAGTTCAACTTTTATAATGATATTCCATCAAAAAAAAATGTCCAAACCATAGCTTTAACAAAGATTGAGCATAATTGACGCTCACTGTTGTAACATCTGAAAACAACCTTATTGTTCTATGTTAATGAGCAGGAACATATTCTTTAAAAAAAAATATCTTGATATTAAGCAATAGCAAATAAAATGTGCAACAAATTTAAATAATTAATAATATATGGTATGTAACTCTTAATGGAGAAATTATCCATTAAAAGTGTTAAAATCATTAACAGGATATCTGAGAAATAGATGACATACATCATAAAAACAATTAAGGGAGATGTGAAACAACTGCAGTTAAAAATGTATGCATTCATGGATAATTACAATAACTTGAAAACAATGGATGATGTTATACATGTGGTTTAGCATCAGACATTTGAGAACAGTATCCCACACAATAAATAGTGAAAGACTTATTTTTATTTCTGCCTGACAAAGAATATTTGTCATTTTGTAATAAATTTTAAATTAGAACAGGATAACATACTTTTGAGGAGATCTGTTTTCCACCTCTGCTTTCAGGTGCAGATTGTCTCTAACAAGATCGATGATTTGAGCTCTCAGGTTCTTGTTTGCCTAAGGAATAAAGTTTACATATATTTTTTTAAGGAAGCTGCAATATTACTTAAACTTAACAATAACTGACATTTATAATATTCATTTTAACATTTAGTGCCATATAATTATACAAAATATTGAACATACAACAGATATGCTACTGCTAAACATTACCTCTTTCAGTTTCTCCATATCTGATTTCACTTTCTCATAAATGTCAGCTGCTGCTTTGAGTTTATTTTCCCATTCCTTCAGCATATTGGGGTCATCTCTCTTGTCCTCACCTTTCTGCTTGTAGTCTCCATTTTTATGAGGTAAAGATAAGGTTGAAGGATCTAGTACAGTTTTCAACTGTGACTCAAAGCGTATGTTTTTGTTTCTTAGATCCTCATTTTCTTTTTGGAGAGCCTCTATTTCATCCTAAATCACAGGAAATAGAACCCATCAAAATGTTATCTTTGAGTTCTTGAGTGAAATGTAAAAGTGCATATTTCTTTCATGTAACATTGTAACAGAATTTGTACAACATTTCAGTTGAGGTTTTTGAATAAAAGCACTTTGAGGGGAGGTAGCTCTGTGGCTAAGGATCTGTGCCTGTGACTAGAAGGTTGCTGGTTCAAATCCCGCAGCCGGCAGAGGAATCCTACTTCATTGGGCCCCTGAGCAAGACCCTTAACCCCAACTGCTCCAGGGCCGCTGTACAATGGCTGACCCTGCGCTCTGACCCCCAGGCTTCTTTGGGGTATGTGAAGAGAAATACCTAATGCAAGAAATTGTATAGGGCTAATAAAGCAACATAATCACATTAGTTTAAGTTTTAAGATTATGTTTTGAACAAAAATTATTTTCTTTTATTTGAAAGTTACCTCACATTCCTTCAGAAGCAGCTCAAATCTGGTTTTCCGAAGATGCTTTCTAACAGATTGACTGTCATTACATTCACTCTCATTGGTAGCTCCTGAAACGGTAAATTAACAGTAACCAATATTTTAGCACCAAAAGTAATGCAGGATATTACAGCTACAATAATAATTTCTCAATAGTGATTTGAGTATTCTCCTTTTAAGCTTGAAGGAAGTTTAAGTTAAAATAAAGTAGTAATTTAAATATGAAGAGTAAACGCTTTACTCAACATCCAAATGTTGAGTTACATACCATATTTAAGATACTCCATGCAAAAAGGAGTGTACATATGTCACTATTGGGGAACTATATTGAGATAACAAGAATTTACATTATCTGATTTACATTTTATGACTTTCTTTGTGTTAACTTGTCATTTATGTACATACTTTCTCCTGCCAAATAAGATGTATGCTTTGTTTCAGAACTGTTGCAGAGAACTGTTTGGCTCAATCTAACAGCTAAGAACAAGGGAGGTTTAAAATGTCTTTGGTGTAACCACACAAGTGTACAGTAAATCACACATAATGAACGCCTAAATACAACATTAAACTGTTTATAACAAGCTTTTTATGCTGAAGTGCATGTACCTCTGCATGTAGGAAGATTAAAAATGTAAGTATTTCACAAGATTTTAACCTCTAAATGCTTCACAGCAAATAGAACTGCAAGATGTGTTTATAACAGTAAGGTTAGCATAAAATTTCATTCAATCTGAAAAAAATCTAGAAAACCTTAAAGCACTTTTCTATTACCGCTTCCTATTAGATATGTAAGAACATCGCAGAAGTTCAATGTCCCCAAACTCAGCCAGCTGCAATAAAGTTTTAATATGCCTGAAAACAGATAATTTAGGAACATGTAGCCACTAATCCATAGACAGATACAATATGATGCATTAAAAGGCAACAAAACTATTGAATCCAAAATTGTTTGTAATGCCTTTTACTATATATTTTTTTATCATTACCAGTGTAGACACTTAAAGAGGAACTGCAGTCCCAATTTCTCATGCTTGTTATTAAACCTTGGTAACAAATTAAATTGACAGTTTTGCAAAATTTTACAACTTCAAATTAAGCACAGAATTGTGAACTTTTTGAAAGTACTATATTGTCACCATGTTGTCACAAACAGCTGGTTTCACCATGGGCGAGAGAGTTTCTGAGAATTGTGAATTAAACCAGCCCTTCCTGCTCACTACTCACTGTAATGACTAATGTAAAGCAAGATAAGAGCGAGTAAGTAAAGGCTGCACAGCAGACATTTCACCACAGAAATTTTCCAATGTGATCTGCATGCAGAGTTAACAAGTAGTATTTGTCTGCAAAACTGTCTTAAAGCCGAGAGCAATATTTCTACTAAACTAAAAGAGATTTGTATGCAAGCCTGCTTGTTTACAATATAATATGGCAGACAATTGCAGTCAATGATGGCAATATGGCACTGCGCATACCAGAAAATGTAATTATTTTGTGATGTAAGCTGCCCAGTTAAAATGCACAAAATGTAGTCTTTTGATCATTCAGCTATTTCAGAACTGCAGTATATGCATGTTGTGAAAATACAGGCATACAGGCACAGTGTGCATATGTTTGGCACTTATAGTTACATATACAATAAATCTTGCCAAATTATAATATCAGGTTGTATTTACGGATAAAACACACTAAATGTTATGACAAACTTATTGCTTTTAGTAAGGCATTAATAATACTTGCTGTAAGTCAGACAATGTGAAGCTAACACAATAGCCATGAAACATAAAAAAGCAATTATTCGGACAACTTCCTATGGATGTTAGGAGGTAAGAAAATTATTTACTTTCAAACTCATATATGAGAATAGAAAATAGGTCAGGCAGCCATTTTGCCTGACCGAATATTTTTCTCAAAATCTGAAATTTATTGTTTTGAAGATTAAGCCAGCAATGCTTACAGTTGATGCCATAAAATGTTTTCAACAGTTTTTGGAGAAGGCAAAACAGATCAAGCAGCAATCCTGGTATACAAATCATCTACAGTCTTTCATATATTTAATACACAAACATTACATATATTTACAGCCAAATAAATAATGCATGAAACTTCTTGATATCAAAATAATGTGAGTTCACTCGCTACATACAGTAGTTTTTAAAAGAATGTTGTAACTTGGGCTGTATTTTTCCCCACTTTTGATTACATTTAGATTAGATTTAGTGTAGTGCTTGGCTGTCAATAAAACAGACCAGTCTGCCATCTTGGTTAATACAAGAAAAGTATGAAGCCATGTGACTGAAAATAGGAAGTTAAATGTCTCAACAGATCAAGTAGGTAGCTGCGTCAGCATCCGTATGCTGCAAATGAACAAGTTAAAGGTTTATTCCATGCTGACAGGAGAGAAAATAACGTTTCGGCTGTGGAGCCTTCTTAAGGTGTCAACACCCAGTGTCCACACCCGAAATGTTGTTTCCTTTCTTCTCTTTTCAGCATGGAATAAACCTTTAACGTGTTCCTTTGTCTTAATAGATATTTCATTTGCTATTGAGAAAAATAAAGACTGAAAAATACCTTAAGTGTCTTACCTATAATTTCTTTACACGGGTTTTCCGGAGTAATAGGAATCCTGCAAGTTGGGCACTGACTATTTTTCTTCAACCATACTTCAATGCACGTTGAACAAAAAACATGGTTGTTAGTACAAATCACAGGATGCCGTACCTAGGACAGAGTGCGAAAGAATTTAACATCTTAAAATTGACGATGTTTAACACACAACGCATGGTTAAAGGTTTTAAATTGTCAAATAAAAGCGTTTATATAAATGGGTTTGGGTTTAAAAACTCTTTCATGTTCTTAATGCGGCAATGTACACGGCGAGGGTATGAAGTTTCATACGTAATACATCCACTTTGATTAAAAGCAAACAAATATAATAACAAGAAACAAACGGCCGCTTGTCTACCTTCATGCAATCATGGCAACAATTTTAGAAAATAAACAAAATAAGAGGTGCAGAACAGTACTTCAGCATTTTTTAGCTTTTTTATTCGATGCATAACCACACAACGCAGCTCATACTATGACATTTCCGGCCGAATAAGCTTAATTAAACATACATGAGCTCAATCTAAAAAGCTACAGTATGTACCTTTCCAAGACAAATCTGGCATGACATCGGTAACGTTAAAGAAAGAGTCACACTTTGAACACACTGAGCCATTATCTCCTTCAAAAACGGATACTAAAGCTTTTGCCACGGAAATCCTTCTATGAAAGCAACCCACGGTAACTCACAAGCATAACCTTAAAACATCACGATTCTACGGAATGCCAAGACGGACAAACCATGTACTCGCGAGCTTTGTCGAAGATAACCGAAATGGCAAAAGTCAGTTCGAATAACAATTGAAATTACTGGTTCATTACAGTATAAGTGAACCTGCTAAATGATTTACAGCTTTATCTTAATTCGGTACGTTTTGGTTGATTTTTGTCTGGTTTTATTTCCAATGTGGAGTTTTTTTCTTTTAATCCTGTTGACTGTGCCTTTCGTAACTAGTTTTCATAACTAGTTTTTATATTTTTTTCATAAAATTGTAGTACCAGCAGACCTATACTATTCAGTTCAGACGTCTCCACTACTTCATAAGCACTTTGAAAACTATTTTTGTCTGTTTTGATATTTAGCTGAGATACATACATTTAAGGTAAATCTATTTTTATTTTACGAAATAAACATTTGTGTTAATATTGTGTGATTTTGTATATTTCCTGATGTTTATAAATCACATTTTCTTAGGTTTTAACTGACATAAAGTTCCTTTGCTTTTGTATTGTCACTAAACTCGTAACATTAATTTACTCAGTGTCAATTACCTTATTACCTGGGCACCGTTTATTTACAAATTCTGGTCATTTATTTTTATTTTGTTATTTATTGCTAAGTTTGTTCTTTTTCCAACTATTTTTCAGTTTAAATATTCAGATAAAAACAGCTTTAGTACAAATGGACCTGTAATAACTAAGGACTCGAATATTTTGAATATTTTTATGTGCCGAAGGTTTCCTGTTACAGACTTCCATTTAAATCAAACTTACATATGCTGTTATTGAAATTGTAATAATGAATTTTCACCTTATTCAGAATTGTTTTTTTCAACATGAAAAATAATTGTGGGGATTCTTGGTAGACTGGGTAGTGCTGCAGGCTGATTAATAAGAAATATGTGCTCTGGAAGGATGCTGCATATAATTTTTCATGCTGGAGGGATTTTAAAATTCCGGTGGCAGAAACTAATTGGGTAAATTTGCTTTAAATATGCAGGCAAGACACTGAAAATAGCCCTTGCAGATACCAGCCACAACTAAATGCTCAAATTTAAAGAGTAGAGTACAGTATACTACATCAAAAAATATTTTAAATATTTGCTATTGAGCTTGATTGCACATGCATTGAAGAAGTAAAATGATTTCTGCATCTGTCTCATCAGAGTCCCCACACTAACCCCTAACCCCCACTGTAACTTTAATCTAAACAAATCCCAGCTGAACACTTTTTCTTACGTTAGGCACTTACCAAAATATTTTATACCCAAGACACTTAAGACCTGGGAGATAACAGTTTAAAATGGTAGTGCTTTTTTTTCCTAGCAGCAGACATGCAGTCATCAAATCATGACAGAAGCATAAAAGTATCCACTACATTACAACTTCAATGCAGATATTTTCTCCCTTCCTCGTTTTTTTTCCTATTTAACTGCTCATTTGATTGTGTTCCTATTCATAGTTTAATGTATTAAAGTAAATTGGCACAATGACAGAGTGGTAAGCATTGCTGCCTCACAGTGCTGGGGTTCAATCCCTGTCTGGGAGTGCTGTATGTGTAGAGTTTGTATGTTCTTCCTGTGTTCATGTCGGTCTCCTCTTACAGTCCAAAAATATACTGGTAGATTAATTGACTTCTGGGAATATTGGCCCTGGTATGAGTGTATATGTGTCTGTGTCTTTGTATCTTCCCTGTGATGGACTTGTGATTGTCCGCTGGGTTAGGCTTCTGCTACCCCGTGACCCTGAATTGAAAGAAGTTCTTAGAAAATGGATGGATGTAAATATATAGTACAGATATAGTTTGATAATTATGCAGTTGCTTTCCCTATTGACAAAAACTGCTGTAGAGTGGTGGGACTGAGTTCATATCCTCCATTTACAGTATGTCCTCACACCTAAAAAAGGATTAACAGAAAAAGTTTTGCATTAATTATTTAGACTTTATAAAGTAGAATTGACCTTTAATTGATTCACAAAGCACGTCAATTGGATTTAGTAGGAGGTTCAAAGTGTCCCAGTACTTAATTTTCACTAATTCTAAGGATAATATGCTGTATCACAACATTACATTTGGAAAGAGTGTTTTACTTCATAACACTCATAGCCTTCATTAGCCTTTGTGTGCTGTAGTATCATGCTTCTCTTCTATTCTTTCAGAATTTGATTGATCGGGTATGGCAATTACTACTGTATCAGTGAAATATATCTTAAAAGTGTATGTACTTACTATTATGTACAATTTATTCAGTACTTATTCATTTGCAGCCAATGCACAATGGTGTATCTGCCTACTAAAACATATTTGTGAAATATCCACCAAATATGTTCCAGAAACAGAATAGATTATTTTATTTTTCAGCTCACTTGTTAATCGGTGTGTTTCTACCACCACTTCACAAGATTTTAAATGCCCTTGTAAGATGAATGGGGTAACACCTCAAAATCAAGCTTGGCAATGCACTGCACTGCTGCACTTGCTGTGCATGGTCACATAAAGTATTGATATGAAGCCCCCCAACAGTCTGGATCTCCACGGTGTTGGATTTTCATCTATTTGAACTGATGAAGGATGCTAAGATAAGAATTTCAGTAATGACAATGAGGTTTAACTGGCAGTGCAATAATGATTTACCAACCAACATAATTTTATTTCAAATGTATCCATGAGCTTGTTACAAAAACTTGTGTACAGTATGTGCTCCCTTTAAAATCTCACTAGTGTTGAAAAGTACAAGTGTTCTTCACTTTTGAAACATATTTGGTGGATAATACACAATATCCCTTATGCATTCACTCTCAGTACCCTTGTATTACTTGGCAACCACTCAGGTTTTCTTAACTTTGTTCCTCCCGCCACCCACTTGATCTGAGCTACTATACAGTAGCACATACTCCTCCAAAGTCTAAATTTCATTACAATTGAGCTATATGTGATTGCTTGTTTATATTTGACAAGGCTTATAGATTGATTATAAACATGAAAGTGAGATGGTGTAAATATTTTCATTTCCTTATGGTTTATAATCTTGTGTTTACATCAATATTTGAATGAGTGACAGTTGCTAGCCATGCCTTAAAATATGTTCTGTGGCATATTTTACATACCAGCTTAAAATATCCCACTATTAATACAAGAACAGAAATTCAAACTGCATGTGTTCACGCTGAATAAAATTAATAAAATGTAAAAGTATAGAAATCACTGTAGCATTTTAGGCTGTTTTCTGAATAAATATCTGCTGGAATATGATTGTTAAATTAGAAATATATGTCCCTAACACATTTGTAAAGTATTCACATTGTGTAGTGAAAAAAGAAGAAAAAATAAAAAAAATAAAAGAAAAAGAGAAAAAAAGAAAAGCACAACAAAATGAGACAGTGAAACCAACACTGAAATTATAAATGGAGCTACAATGATAAAATAGACCTTCAATTCTACTTAACCAAAAGCAAGTGTTGAAATATCTGTGTTTGTCATCTTACTTGTCACCTTACTTACTGGGTAAAAGGTTCTACATACAATAGTTTTAAGATTTCTGGGTGTGTGTTTGTGTGTTACCTAACACATAATTCAAATAATTATTTAAACTGTCCTAAGTTCTTGGTAAATTAAGAGTGGACATTAAGGTTCTCCTGCTCATGTTTAAGTCACTGATTGATCTAGCTCTAGATTATTTTGTGGATTTTTTGTATTATTATCATAAAACTCTTAATCTGAGATCTGTTGTTTCAGGTCTGCCTACACACAAAAAACCATGCTCGATTAGAGTCCATTAGAGATTGTACAGCAAATTTTTAAAAGGATTGTCTTTTCAAATTAGTTTTTAACATGTTGTATATTTTAGTTTGGGTCTAACAAGTCGGTTTGCTGTGCTTTTCATTTTTTAGCTTTTGTTTAGTGTTGTTATGCGTATTATGTGCATGCTAACGTACAATGCTTTAAGTTTTTGAAAAGCACTGGCATTGCAATTCATATTATCATTACCTTTTCTTAAATAAAAAGTAAAGATGATCACTATAATTTGTTTTATTATCAGAAGGAAACTAAAAAATAACAAAATAAAAAGACTAATATGTCAAACTTAATGTCATTGCTTAAATTTACAAACTATACTGTGTATCAATTTGTATGTAAGATAAAATTTAGAGTGAGGTCCCTTCATGTTTAATGTGACTAGCAGTATATGGCATGTCCTGTACTCACACAAAGAATGTTTTAATGATACAGAAAAGGCATTCAGAATGCTTAAGCATATTCCCTCTAAAGCTAATATTTCTTCAGTATATGTTTTAAGCAAAGGTTTGTAATCATTCCGTCATTAATTCCTGACAGTCAATTACTCACTACTAGTACCAACTGAAACAGCTATTGATCTTGTACAAGGCCTTATTTTTCATCCTTAAATGACACAAATCACCAAATTCAACTTGTACATATAATGGTCAGATGAAACCAATGACCAACATGTCATGTTATGCTAAGTTTTTATCCATGAAATTTCACCTTACCATTTAGCCTGAAAAGGTTTAGATTGCCCTAAGAGCATGGCCTCTAAAGACAGCTCTTTTGCTGCTAACTCGACCTTTTATGTTTGAAGCTTAATCACTGACAAACGCTTGCATTAATTAGCTACTCTCATCTCATGCCTCATAGTTTCCATGCCTTAAAGCAATGCTAAACAAGATGACCATGCTCTGATGAGCATGTGTGTGGAAACCTAAGTAGCAATGCGCAAATGAGTCTTGCCACCACTCTTGCTGACAGAAGCCATAGCCCCTTGGCCCACAGATCCCTCTTTTCCCACCTGCAGATCTTATTTACTAATTATTAACAGCGTTAACTGCTAGCAACTGTGAAAGACTCAGCATGGTGGCAGTGCTTGGTATGTTTAACTGTTCTCTATAGACCTCAAATTCTCCTGAGTGACAGCTGGCTCACTTTTAGTATTGCTTTAATAAATTTGTCTTCGGTTCTCCCAATTACACTTTCACACTAGCTGCTTTCTTAATGGCTAAATAAGGGTGTTATTTTTCTGTTTAAATGCAACACAGAATAAAACATTTGCCATTAAAGGGTTAAAACACTACTACTACTACTACTACTACTACTACTACTACTACTACTACTACTAATAATAATAATAATAATAATAATAATAATAATCTTTTATTTATTAAGTGCTATTCCAGACCCAAGGATGCTGGAATGGGATACCTCTAAGGAAAACAAGTTTGTTGATGTAAGTGCTGTTGACTACATCAGTATGCTACTATGGGGACCACATACTGTACACTGTACTGTGGAACTTAAAGTCCTTTGGATAAGACATTACACCAAAACATTACTATTTGACCATTAAAGATTACAATGATATTAACCCTAATTCTTGTAAATTTGTCATGTAAATTCCTCTTGGAACTTGTGAAACCCAGACCCACCACAATTTATACTTTAATCCAATTGGTAATACAATTTCTTATTTCTACACACGATCTGCTATATAGTGAGGCTGCTGGCACATGATAGCTGCCAAGTGTCATCCAGGTCATTGGGTCATAAATACTGTCCCCTCTAGTACTCTATGTGAAGCTCCTTAGTACCTTTAAAATGAACCATAACATATAGAAAGCAATTAACTGAGTGATTAATGAATTAATTAATTACTTCATTAATAAAGACATAAGGAAGTCTAAATACAAGAGATAATTTGGTTTTTAGTCTTGTCTTCAGTGTATAATATTATAATAATTCAATCTAACCCTTTCTTTAAGCATCCCAAGGAGTCAGCTATGACGTTTTGTTCTGGAAAGTGAATCAGAGTCCTCTTTTGAAAAAAAATGGTCAATTATTCTAAATTTAATTTCCACTTTTGTGGCTGCTAGTTATACACAGTTTACTTCATTCATGGGTTTGAAAAAAGCAATTCAGTTTGAAGATGTTTTGAAACTTTGAAAGACTGGAAGACTGAAAATTATTTTAAAATAAAGAGTAAAGGGAGGAGACAAAAAAGTTCTCCTTACGTCAGGCAGGCCAGCAGTCTCTGAAAACACCTCTAGCTCCAGTGCTGACAATAATAGACATTATCTTCCTTCCTAGAGAATCTTAAGCTCGTGGATTTGAAAAGACAGCACAGGACACTCACTCCCCTCATTGATATCCTCATTCCTGTAAAGGCACATTTCTGTTGGGATGTTGATGGACTGAAATCTAGGTAGAAGTGCAGAACATATGTTCCATTTAGCACATAGGTGATCTTCTGTACTGCCTACCTTCCTTCAAATAGAGCTGTCTATCTGTTTACAGGGTAAACTTTTGGCCGTGGACTGTCTTGTCTTCAGTGTTAAATTAACCTTTACTTGATCCTTTTAAGGCAACTCATGCTGATGCAGCTCCTCAGTTCAACCTCCTTTAGTAATACATTCTCTGAATGTACAGTATATAACATTTTTTTTAATACCAAAGGATCACATCATGCTTTACATATAAGTGGAGACCCACTTCTACCACCTTCTGAAGTCAGCCTCCACCCTTGTCATACAACCCAAATACTATTCTCATCAGGGCATCTAAAACTGAGCAACAAGGCAAGCAGGAAATGGGTTTAAAATGTCATTGTGAAACTAACAGTGACTTTAAAAGTTCTGAAGTTTTATGTCTGATAAACTGTAGGAGTCACTATTCATACATTGACAATAAACCAATAAACCTGGCCTGTATGGGTAAGTGGCAAGAAAGTAATAACTCAAATGTTTCAATTTAAATCTCTTATAGGTTATACCACAGACATGTGACCAAACATTTTATGGCTAGGCTACACTAAAATGCAATGTGTTGGTATAAAAGCAAAACGTAACATCTTGTACAAGCCCAACATAACACATCACCTAGTCAGTATCATTCCTACTGTCAAGCACAGTGGTGGCAATATCATATTATGGTGATAGTAGAAGTATCTGGAACTCAGATATGACCGAGAAAATTACACGTAAAAAGCTGCTTTAGTCCCTAAATAATCTAAATGTGTCAAACACTGAAAACATTTGTATGGCAATGATATCAAGCACAAAGGCAAAGACATACTCAAATGGTTTAACAAGAAAAGTTAATGTCCTTGAGTGGTCCAGTGAAAATCTGGATTTGAATCCAGTGGAAAACTCCGAAACTTAAAGATTGCTGTCTATCAGATTCAGTATGTCCAACAAACTTAATAGAAAGAAGTTTTTTGACAGAAAGAATAGAGAGAAATATAAAATGCTACTGTACAATGTACTGTAAATCTGACGCCTATTCAAAAGACTTAGAATAGTAAGTAGTACCAAATTGGTTCGATCAAGTGTTGACTTAGAGGGCTGAATAATTATTTAATAATTCAATTTCACTATTCATATCTACTTTGTGGGTTTAGCTGACATTCAAGCCCCTTTACGTATAATCGTGTTCAATGAAAATGTTCAAAAAAAAGTTCAGTTGAAAACAGCTTGTATACAGTTCCTTACATGGAATTCTTCATAACTGTATTTTTTTTTGTATATACTGTAGAGTCATAATTAGCAGCCATGGAAAGCTGTTTTCCCTTATTTGGGCTATTCAGCTAGGCATGATTAATTTTAATCTGATAAACATGAGTTTAAATGTGTCCTACAAAGAATGTCTTTCAAGACTATGGTTCAGAGAAAATAGCCACTATGAATTATGAGAGTGTGAATATTTATTAACTCATTTATAATGATTCTATATTATATATATATTAGTAATTTGCTACATTTAATTATTTTTAAATAATTTAAAATTCCACATAAGAATTTGTTCCTTTGTTTTACTGCACTTTACGTTTCATTTTTTATGAAAAATGAATACTTTGTCATTGATTATTCAGTATGTATATAAAACATACCTTTAAACAAAAAATAAGAAATGTTCAAGATCTAATTTGACAGCACTAGTTAACTCTGCACCACACTCCCAGTGCAGAAGATGGGAGTTTTATTTATTCTCCTTTGTACCATTAAGCCATTTTTATTACTTTGCCTACAGGCTGGTGTTGGCACACGTGTCAGTGAGCAGTCCTCCAGATGAGGCCCAGCAATAGAGTGACTTGTTCCACCAGAAGGCTCATGGGACCTGAGGCGGATTATTATGGTAATACTATAGCCTGCTGCCCTCTCCTTTAGCACAGCTGGGCTGCACCTTTCATTACAAGTATTGTAGCAATCTGTTTTGGAAATTGCAGGATGAGTACAGCATATATAGAACACATAAAACATGATTAAAAATGTGAGCCTGAAATAAAATGCAAAACCTGTTATGAACACCTTATATCAAATCACAGTGAAATGGTTAGAATCAATCTTTCGTTGCAAGCCATTTGTACTAGCCTGATTATCTTTTATATACCATTCTGTATTATTAATGACTCTGTTACAACAAAACGTAGCATTTTTTTAAATTTCAAGATACATGTGAACTTTGTTCTTTTGATTAAAATGTTAATTCAGTTATTAACTGAATTGTGTATATTACAGCATGTACACTGACTTACTGAATTGTGTTTATAACAACTGATCCTAAGACACTGAGCCTTAGGCTTTATATTATATTTTGTTATTTTCTGTTTGTAGTATGTAGGTGAAGTGATAGGATGATATTTTAAGTATGTTATAGAGTATGTGAGAGACATTTTCGACAATTTCCACTTTATTACGAGACAAAGGTTGTTAACATTTTGTACAATTGAACATAATTGATTTGCAAAAAGAAGACTAAATCAATACCGCATTTATTTTCTATCCAGAATACATTTGCAAATATTCATTTTAGGTCACTAGCTTGTGAAACTCTAATTATTTAAAATTTAATCACTGTTTAAATTGATTTTGGATGAAAAAAAAAACTATCCTTTGTTATTTTCTGACATCATAATTTGCTAGCCACCTGACAGTATGACATCTGAAGATCAAATGTAAAGTAGTTCTGCATATGCTAATTGTGTTTTTGTGAAACATTTTTATAAACCTCTAAGAGTTCTTATACTGAAAAAAATCTTTACATATTACTGATTCCAATACACTGGGCTGTACTGGTGAGCTAGAACTTCAGGTATCAGTTGAAAATGTATATTTGCAATGACAAAAAATACATAAAGAAGGATAAAAACATTTCAAGGTTTTTTTTCTGTTGCATTTGACTGAATACAAAAACTGATGTTTACTTGTATTTCTGTGGTTAACATACTGACAAAATCATCTGATTGTTTTTGCCCTTCCTGATAGGCGAGCATGTTTTTTTCATTTACTGCTTACAAACTCAGTCATTTTTCTGATTCATAAAGAGGGTAAGCAGAGTTGCTACATTACCTTGATAGGAGGTAATACACTACTTAAAATAATTAGTTTTTTAACTAATTAACTGCATACACTGTTACACTGTAAGTGATTAAACATGATTCAGTGATGTAAATACCACATACTGTACACAACTGCTGGTGATAATAGCATATGTTCATAAAAAAACATGTATTCTTACCTAGAATGATAGATGATAGTTGTTTTTTTTTCATTCCACATTGCAGTAAAATAATATTAAATAAATAATAAATAGTAATAACTAAAAAGTAAATTATTTATCTTGTAAAGTGTGATCTTGTACACCATGGTCTACAACCCACATGTGCATTTTATTAAGAATATAACTGTTAGAATTATGTTATTAAACAGTTATTTGGGTTTTGTCATGTATTTCAAGAGTCAATATAGGACAAAGAGAAATAGACACATTTTTCACAGGATAAATTAATCTCTTAATAGAAATATACTGAGAAGTTTACAATGCAATTTTATTGCAGTGTGGCCTATTTTCCACACAGATTTTCACAGTCTGCTGCTCAAAACCTGGGAACATAGTATATCTGCAGCATATATATAACTGCAAGCAGAAACAACATATTTTTATATATAGATTCCTATGCTTGATGTCATCTTTCTGTGCTAATTTCTTCTTAGGTTTATGACATTAATTGGGACAGATGCTTGATACAGTAGATTAATGTTGAAGTAGTGATGTTTTTGTTCCTGAAATCAAGTAAAATGTGGTGTATAGATGAAACTGGGAGAAGCAGAAGAATAAGTCTTTAATTCTTACCCTCCTGTCACCAAAAATAATACACATTTCTGTACCAGTGTGAATTTGGAGAGTTCTACAGAATTTCAGAGGAGGCAGAAACCAGTGGTACATACAGTATGCCCTGTTTTTTCTATGTCAAACTTCACCTAACAGTCACTATCAGCAAAAGCAGTTCTGTGGAAATGGCCTACTTTTATTAAGTTCATGACTTACAATTTTTTTTACAGTCCAAGAAGCTATGCTTTATGCAAAACACAGCATTGATATAATTATTAATGCCAAAATAGTTTTCTCTCTTTTAAAAATACAGTTATACTTGTAACAGATGTCAACAAATTGAGATGTGATTGATTATTATATCAGTGTTCATTTAACTTAAGGAAAACAAGTGCCATGTACAGTAGTTTGTTTGGAACACAGTCTTTAAACCATGCATTCAGCAAGACCTTGCTTGAATTAATAAGCTCTATATGCAAGACAAGCATCATGATAACACACTTGCTTATAGCACTTTTGTGCTTTAGGTGTGGAGATACATATTGTACCTCTACTGTATCTGTATATGCAGAATTCCTATAAACTTTACTGCATAAGAGTAGACAATATAATTTTTGAAAGTGAAAGTGATAGCTTAACTTTGCATGACCTTAATAATGAGTACATTAGCATTTTGAATAGTTGATGTCTTCAAGGAAGTCTCCCACTCTTTATTCCTAGCTACTTCTAGACTCTACAGTTAAATGTAGTCATTTATTGATGTAATGCTAGCTCATTAAAGGCTCCATTTTGCAATCACACTTCTTATCTCAGTAGCAGAAAGTGAATAACAACAGCAGTCTGAATCTATTGATCATGTCGGGTGAAGTGAAATGTCCCCCCATAACAAAATGCTTGACCACCTAAATGAATGAGCAGTTAATTTCATGAGAAACCAGTAGTTACTATTGTACTTAGTTTCTTTTCAACATTTGATGATACATTCTGGGTATTTGTTGAAAATTACATCTTGGTGAAATCTGCAGCGCAAGATTGCACAGTTTTTCCATAACAATTGCACAAAGGTAGGAATTTGGGAGACTTAGTAATTCAATTCAACTCTAGTGTAAAGCAACAAAATATAGTTTTTTTTTTTATATTGTACAGTACAAATTGTTAATACAATAACTTTAAACTAAGTACTAGCTTTGTTAGTGATGAATGGGTTTCTGACAACATTTCTGACAAAATTGGAATTTGCATGATTTTTACCAAAATCTTAAATTTCATTTAACTACAGATAGTTAAAATAAATTATTTTTATATAGGCTTTACTTTTGCCTATGATATGCTTAATGATAATAATGTCTAGTACATACTTTAATAATGGAGATGATCTGATTGGCGATTAAGGATGCATAAGGCAAAGCAGAGCATAGTTGTAAAAGATTTTACTGATCACATCTTCATCACTACTTTCCCTCAGGGCTTTAAATAGTCAATTTTACACAAGTCTGCATAAGCTAACTATTATTTTTTGCAATGAGTATTTGATTACATAATAAACCTCGCTGGAAATATACAAGACAGCAGATCTTTCAAATCATCTTTAAGTTGAAATTGGGTAGTAATTTGATGTGAATCCACATTTGCTCTGCCATTCTTTTCAATTGAAGATGATACATTTGTCTTTCACCAGATATTTACCACATTGGCCAAAGTGCGTTCTTAACTTTTTATTTAATAATCATGATTGAATGTAAGTTTTAATTGTAATTATGATTGATACAATTTACATATGAATAAATCACTACCTAATCTCCATTGAGATTTGTTACTTAAGATCCTCATATCAACAGCAGGCCCTTGTTTTTAGGTCATTTGCTTACACTTTATATTTACCTGTAGGGGAGAAAATGTTTTTCTGAATTAAGTAAAACATAGTTTACATTTGTAAAAGAAAAAAAAACAAAGCCAAGAATTTAAATTAGAGTAAGAAATGAGACTTTGAAGGGAATGTAATTAGTGTGCTTAAAGATTAGAGTGCTTAAAGTCTGAACCTTTTCTGTTTGTCTTATTATTGTTTGACTACTAAGGTATAGGTGTGCAATGCAATGCTGGACTAATAGATGTACAAAATTACCATCAACCACAAGGAGACTGATTATTCAATTGGAGTCTATCCGCTGGTGGATCCTGGATACACTGCTAATCCAGGGGCAGGTCACATTCCTCAGGGAAGTAAATGGAGTTGATGATATACTGATAGAAGGTTCAAGTATATACATCATCCTTCTTCCATTTGTCAGTGTCACAGGCAACAGCTTGCACTGCTAAGTGATTCTGCAGTGTCCTCTCAAAGACTGCTCCCTCCACCTTATCAGATTAAACTGTCAAAAAGGAAAATCATTCACTGTTAAATAAATGATACACATTTCTGTTTCAAAATTTTACTTTCTACTGTATTTCCAAAATAAAACCCATAACACCAAACAAGATGTAATGTCACTTTCTAATTCAACTCAGGAAGAATATTACATATGAATTAATATATCTAAATCATTTCCATTCTTGAGGTCTGTTTTTTGTATATTTAGGACATATTTAGGATAGAATGAGCATATCTTATTAGAACATGTTTACTGTATAGGCTAATGAACTTACGAACAAGTAAAAAAATGACTGATTATTTACTAAAATAGATTCTTAAAACTATATAGCATTTGATGATTTGATCTGTATACAAGCAGAAATGGAAGGCAGGTTGTGTTTTTCTTTATATAGGATATTGGGAAATTATATGAAAGCGCCTTAGTGTGGAAACTGTAACCTGAGTCCTCAAAGTTCTGGAGTGAAGGACAATCCAAATGATGGTGTGTTTTTATTTAAAAAGAGAACAAAGCACAGATAGCTGTGAAGTCAGTTCCACATAAACACTAAATTACAGCCGATAATTCATGGTTAGAACAAAATATTTTAAAATAATGTGATATGGTTGTGAAATATTTTTGTGCTTACAAAACTGATATACTTAGAAGGTTTGTATTTCCCCATAAAAGGTTATTAATTATTTGTGGCAGCTTGACTTCATATTTGGATGCTGGTGGCCTGGTCAAGGATTATAATTACCACTTCTCTATTTGCATCGTATTTATCTCCCCTCTTCTTAGTGCCATATTACCCACAGCATCTCCTCTCTCCCTGTACACAGAACCAAAAGTGCAGGCACATCATTTATTGATAAGACAAAAAGAATGTAATGAAATTATCAATGTTCTTGAATTAATTATGAACATGATTAAGAAAGCTAAAATCTCAGGAGCCAGGATCTCATTACCCATTCAGTCTTAGGGATTGCTTTCATTCAGTGAAGGAAAAAGGCTTTGAGCAGACCACTTTGCATTTCCCTTTCATTATTATATTGTCTTGTTCAATGTGCAGTTGTCCTAATGCTTTTCACCCCTTTTGGTTTTTCAACTGCCTTCTTCAGTTGTGCCCTCCTAAGAATGTTTTCTTCACTTTTATTTTTCCTATGAAGACATCTTGCAATGAATGACCTGCAATGGTTTTTGGTGTCTGTGGAAGTGAAGAGAACCTCAGCCTTTTATATCTCTCCAAGCAATATTTGGTTCAGTTTTCTCAAAATATCTTACAAGGTAAGTAAAAGACTCAAGCCAAAAACTCCACTTGCTGATGTATGTGTGCAGGTTTGATGTGGCATAGTACCTGTTGTCTCACAAAGATAATGACATCATTATTGCCTTGTATAATCGGGGGCTAATTTAACTTCATTGAATAGTTTCTTGATGACAGATATTAAAACAGCTTAATTTAAAAACTGCTTGCATTTGAATTTCTTGATTACCATTGATACTCATTATTATAAGGATTGTCAGTAGATATATTCTTTACTTAAGTAAACTACATCACAGCATTTAAATTACTAAAAATGAGCAAAAATCAATCAAAATTTAAAATAAGACATTACTAAAAACTACTACCTTCTGTGCCAGAACTATTAAGTTATTGGATTCACTTTAATGACAAATCATTAACATCATTACTCAGTCATTATCAACCACAATATGTAGATATACCAAGCTTCCTTTTCAAAAATTGCTTTAACAATCGTTTTTACTCTGTGAAAATATAATCAGAATAAAACTGAGTTTAGTTTTTTCTATTACCAAAAGTTCTGTTCATAAGCTCTTTATCCACTTTTCTGTGTTTCAAACAGTTGTAGTACATCTTATGTGTCAATATGTGATGATTCATAATGATTTATGAAAGTCAGGATAAGAATGTGCATGGTACAGTATGTACAGTTTTATCATTTGATCTACATTAGATATTTTATGTGAATCACGGTAATAGATCCTACCTAGGAAGCAGTAGTTAGTAATCCATGATAATGGATAATGGCAAACAAGATATAGTAATCTAAGACACTTTACAATTGATTTATCTTAGACATGTGATAGCATAATAGTAATTCATTTCAAGAAATACATAGGAAATGCATGCATAGTAAATTTAAAAAGAAAAAATAATAAAAAATATAGATAATTTACACATAAAAAAATCTCCAGAAAATACATAATATTTAGTAACATTTAACTGTTCATAGGTTGAATGACTACATATACTGTGTATTATATAATGTAACAAATGCTATTGGTGCAAATACAAATTTGTTGCATTTAATGCTAGTTAATATATGAACAACTAACAAGTTATTGTTATATCGAATGAATTAGGACTAAAAGTCTTATGACTTAAGATTTATTGGGAAATTATCATGGAAAAATCCAGATAAGGCCCTGTAATGTATATTGCTTATAAATGTATTCTATTTTGCAATAGGTGTCTATGAATTTAAAGACATACCTTTACTTTTTTTACAGTTCATAATCAAGTATATTTTATTTTGCAACATTGGTTAAGCATAATTCCTTAAACCTAACTTTCAAATATGTGGGAAATCGAATCTCATATTCTCCTGTTTAGGTGTGTGGGGAAAACATCTTCTTTAGCATTATTAGGTTTGCAAATGGTTTAATATGTATGATTAAAATGTGTTTTTAGTAATGCTTCATATTTAGTCACATGGGAAAAGCTCATTAATATGTTTCCCTTGCTGAAAGGTTAGAGCTGGAAAGTTTACAACTGGGAAGCTTAAAACCCTTTGGGCATTCCGCACAAAACACCACTATTCTGCTATAATGAATCTGTACAGAAGGTTTTTACTTCGTTACTTTTACTTTTGTACTAAAAAAAGTTTTTACTTCCTATAACTATTTTATATCACCTTTAAATGTATTTGTTAAAATAGTTCTTTAAAAAAAAAAAACACCTGAAACAAGAATGAGCTCAGAAGTACTGTACACAACTAAAATCTAAAGATATTAAGAAGTGTACTGTACTCTGTGAAAAATATAATTAGCAGGAGCATTGTGTTTCTATTCAACAAAGGGTTATCATTTTCTGTACCCAGACAGCAAAAAAATTATACTGTAATGAGCAGACACAATCACAGACAATATCTACTTTAATATAGTAAGTGTTGTACCTAACATATTTATACAAACCTATTGTTCTTATTAATGCTTTGATTAATTTTGCCTTGTGTCTTTTTTTACCCCAATAACAGCTAAAAAATAAGTGTATTATTATTCTGTCACTGTAGATGTAAATGTATTAACATTATTTAAACATTTTTTGGCAAGAACGCAATAACTGAAAACAAATTTTAATTGCATAAAAAAATAGCTGGCATGTTAATTGTACATGCTGCTTAACAATTTCTAAAAGTCTTTCCATAGGCAGATATACTGTAGGAGAAATCAAACAAGTGTTTCATTGAAGGGTTAAGAAACATTTTTGTGCTTCAGATTGATCCAAGTATTGGATCACACATAAAGCTGCTGTTACTGGATATTACCTCTGCTATCACACTGCTATGATAGCAGAGATAAGAACTGCTTACCAAAGAGGATGCTCCTAAAGGAGAGATATAGTTTCCAATTCCTTAGGGGGAGAAAGAAAAACATGCTGCTGTCTCAGGAACTTTTAGTTTAGCCAGTAAATTTTTGGTCTTATCAAGTTACAAGTCCAAACTGCATGCATATTTTAATGTTCTCATTAAAATCTGCTGTAAGAATAATCCAGGCGATGACTAATAAAACCTTGTTTGTTTTACCATAAATAAACATTCATCTTTGTACATTATGTGATTAAATAGAGCACAATTATACATAAGTATATGAATTAGGAAGTAATTTGATTTAAATATATGGCTGAGACTTTATAAAAAAAGAACATTTTGGTTATTTACATATACAGTAGATATTTTGCAGAAGGTATTTATATTATGCCCACCAAATTTATAATGAAACACATTGCTTGCAGTTTTTATTGCATAATAATCTGCAAACATAGGTCACAAGAAAGTTTTATCTTTTTATATGTTGTTCTGTAATTTTGACATTAGCTCACATATATTACCTGGTGATAAACTAATTCATTAGGTCTCATATATTAATATTAGTGTTAACTTGTATAATAAATCAGAGCGCTGAGTACCAGACTGGAGCCTCAAGTTATATTGCAAAGTACCACAGACTGAAAGTGGGCTTGAAACTCTGGTAGAATGACTGCAGAGAAGAAAGCAAACCACTTAGTGGGGATGTGTTTAATTCATAGAGAAGCTACAGGTTATAACCTTTCCTTCTCTGTCTCTAAGCATATTTCAGTTAAAATATAGTAATGGCCTGGTCCTTACCTGGATTTCAGTTACAGTATATCACTCATTTAGTGCATTAAAATGTAGTACTCATGTTCCAAAAGACTTATGTAATCAGCGTTATTATTATTTCGCTGTCAATTTTATAAACAACAGTCAAAGTGTTTTAGTAAGTCTGAAAGTTAAACTGTTTTAATTTGAAAATGAGTTAAAAATCTTAACACATTGTATGTTTTCAGAACGTTCAATGAAAAGTTTTTTTGTGTTAGGTGTTTTACAAACCACAAATTACTTGATAGGTTTTGAGACATTTAATTAATTTAGACAATAATTTTTATAACCCTAAATGTATTGAAAAAAGTACTTTTATGGTGTTGCAAAATTGTGTGTAGGAAAATTATATAATTTTTCCATGTATTACTGATATTTTCTTTTTCATTATTTGCATAGCTGAGGAAATATTACTTTTA